GTATAGCGAGCCTCAGTAATTTCGCTGAGGCTGCTCAAGTAGTCAGGCATTGCCCAGGAAGACGTAGAATCAACAATTCCAACGCAGAAACCTGCGTTGGACTCACACCACTGCCGACAACAACGCAATTCAATGGTTTGTTTATCGGCGACGCGGCGAGCTTCTTGCCCACACCCCATCGGTCATGCGCGGCGCCGGTGGCGTCGGCTAGGAGCGCTCCAGTTTGTTTGTAAACATGAGTTGGTGTATAAAATATAGTGGAAAAATGATGTGAAATGAGGTGCCATTGAGCACCACGTTTTACATGCTCACGTCACGTCATGTGAGTATAACGTTAGGAAATTCATTTTTAAAGGGGCAATGCAACGATTTTTGTATTTTGCGCAAATACCGCTTAGGACGGATCCCTGACGATAATGACCTGTAAATTACCCGTTCGTTTTTCACCACACACAATCGAAGTGGTAGAAAAAAATAAAAAAAAAACGAGCAAAGTTCACCCCTCAACTCGCAGCCAGAACAAGCGGCCACGTGATCTGGAGCCGATTATATGCCGCCAGTGTTGATCATAGCCACGCGCTGGGGTTGGCAAAGCACAGGACACGCGCTGCGTTCCAGACATTGTTATGGTTCGGCTGTTTTCGTCATTGCAGTGCTTGGACACAGGACATACCCGAATGCTTCTCGAGCTATCGATTATCACGAGCCCAAATCGAGTGTCCACGCCATGCTCGGGTCCAATCTATGAGCCGCATTCACATATCGTCACGGTACTGCTACCGCCCAGCTACGTTACCAGGTTTTGCGAAGGAGAGATTGAATGAAAACGCTCGGTTTTCTCCTTGAAATTACAGCGCAACAAAGGAGTTTCTTGGCCAGTGGTGTTGCGTGTGAGTATCCTTGAGAACCACTAGTGCCAGTAAGCTCGTGTAAAGTGAAAAACATTCCAATTGAATATCGTTGCACCGCCCCTTTAAGTCTAGATACTTTAGACCTTGTCATTCGCAGTTTTCTCCGTTGGTAGCAGCCGCCTGCATTACTGGTGTTCTCGCGGAAAGTGGCGCACTAGCTCCCAATCAATCGCACAGCGCGTGCCATCCTGACTGAAAGCAGTGTCAAGGGGTGAAACTAGAAGACCCTGTCCTTTAATAAAACGCTTCGTAGAGATTCCCGCTTCAAGAACTTGCGTCCCATCAAGTTTCCGAGTCTATTATATTCGCGAACACCGCCCCGTCGGACTTTAGCAAATGATTGACTCTTTGTCCAACAGATGTCTAGTCGAACTGTGGTAAAGTTTGAAGGTAGGCCAGTCGGTGCTGACACGTGTGACGTCACTGCTCCTCGCGCATACGCAGCACGGCTCGCCAGAAGCCACGCGAAACTGCTCAGCCTCGGCCAGTGTAGACTACGCTACAAAATAAACTCCTAAAAACACGCTCCGATTCTATTCAAACATGAACTCCGAAAACACAGTACGCTACATCTAATACGAGTCTATGCGCAGCCAAACCCCGGCGTAAAACAACGAGCGCGAGGCGCGCGTGAGTCGCGCGCCTCGCCTCGGTTTAAAGCTGAGAAAAGTAAAGCCCCTTGATAAAGGCCGTTTTTACAAGTACCGCCAACCATTGTTGTGAAAACGCGCGAGATACGTGCCGCGAGCGCGTGCTCCGCCGCCATTCGCTTCCAAAGGCCGCTCATTTCAGTGCTGCACCGCCATTTGCTTCCAGGGGCCGCTCGAGACATGGGCCTCGTGCGCTCGCGCATTTGACGCTACTTGCAAGACACGTAAACACATCAAGGGGCTTTAGAGAAAAGTGGAGTCGAGCGCCATCATTAGTTATCTCGACTGCATTTCGCTCAAAGTAGGTTGAGCGACACGAACACGCTCAGAAGTAAACATATTGCTTTGAGTTGAATGATCCAATGAGTGGTTTAATTAATGATGAGGTGTACTCTGACCAATGGGTTCGAATAAAACACAGATTTCATTGCTTCGGCAAGCTGCAAACCTCTTAAAGAGGCGACCTCTTTAAGAGGTTTTTCAGGCGAGGCACTTACTTTTTTTATTTATTTCTTTAACTGACATACCCTCAGGGCCATCAGCATTACAGAGGTGAGCGGGAGTTAGAAGAGAACAGAACAAAGCTGTACACTTTGGAGCTCAGTCTGAGCTGTATAGATTATTTACGGCAATTTTTAAACATATAGTAAGTGGCAATTGTGGCAACAGATGTGGGAAGGTAGTTCCAGTCCACTGAAAGTTTCGGGAATGGATGACTCTTGTTTTGGAATGTCTACTTCATATATATATATATATGATGAAATCCGTGACAAAATATTAGACGGGTGATTCAGCGGTCGGCTGTGAAGTACTGCGTTATTATGGTATCTCTTATGAAAGTGACATCAACGCGCTATTTTACGACGTAAAGTGAGGTAGGCAACGATAGGCTGGTTGCCATGGATCATAATTATTAAGATAAAATACACAGAACAATTTTGTACTGATCGAACGACGGTTTAGCGAGCGAAACCTGGCCCACGGCGTTTCATCGAATGCCACTTTAGGGAATGGCAGTGTTCATTTGACCGAATAGATAAAATGAAGGCCGCCGCTGTCCTGTTTTCGAGCTTGCCGAACCTTTGGCGATGGACGCTCGAACTTCAGTTCATATTATTTCCCCCAAACTATACCGAAGCACCCCTTGCTATCATTCTGAACAGACCGCCTGGCGCGGTCTGTTTGGATGCCCAGTTTGCCGCCCCTACAAATGCCTAAACGGTGACTCGCGTATGTGATCTCTATTCGCTAAACTCTAATGCGCTAAAACGTCTTCGTTCATATAATATGGACTCGTATTAATGTTTGTGAGATGTTTCACAAAAATCATGCACGCAGGTTCGTGTCTGTCTCTCCTTTTTGTCCCCTCGGCGAGCGGTCGTTGGCAAAAATATAAGCGCCTTCTTTCTTTTTTTCGTAGAAAAGACCGTCCGCAACAAAAGGTAAAAAAAAGGACAGGCCAGAAGGTTTTCAGGTGGGGTCCCCTCCACAATCACAACGCCGACAACCAGGCGAAGTCTAGGGAGCCTTCATGTGCGCTTTGCTAGAGTGATGCCACCCTTCGTAATACCGCTCGCCCACAAACCAGCAGCCATTTTGGTTCTGGGCCTCCGTGGGGCTAATAACTCTCCCGGAAACAAGCACCTTATCTCACAAGTTCGGAGCAGGGAAGTCAAGAAGCTGCTCGCTCTCCACAGCATGCGCGCTCGATGAAGAAAGCGCGAAACAAAACGAAAATAAAAGAAACGGGACAACAAAACTAAAACCAGAGGGAACAAGCTAAACAAAGAAAATGACAAGAGCAGGGTGCGTCGCCCGGCCCAGCCCAATACCCCCCCCCCCCCCCCACACACACACACACACACACACACTGACACACACATCTGGAGCAGTCAGCGCCGCTGCGAAAGAACTTCGAGGATGGCTGAGAGCCGGAGGCAGTGGCGGTGGCCGCGGCTGCAGGGGCCGACGCCGCTTTCCGTGACCTCGGTGACTCGGTGACTCGGTGACTCGGTGAATGGCTGTGACTCGGTGAATGACTGTGACTCGGTGAAGGGCCGTGAAGTCGAACCGGTCGAACGACTTCATGAACGGGATCAGTTCACGGACGTGAGGGGAACGACTTGCTGAACTCGATGAGCTCGTGATGGGACGGTGAGCGACTTCGTGAATTCAGAGTTGGCGGTGATGGGATGGGGAATGCTTCATGAACTCTGTCGGATTCGTGATGTGACGGTGAGCGACTTTGTGAATTCAGAGCTGGCGGTGATGAGATGGGGAATGCTTCATGAACTCTATAGGATTCGTGATGGGACGGTGAAGTACTTCGTGAACTTGACGGATTCGTGAAGTGACGGTGAATGACTTTGTGAGTTCAGAGATTGTGGTGACGTGATGGGGATGAGTTTGTTGTCCGGTTGAACTCCGTGATGTGAATGGCCGTGACTTTTGGACGTCGGTGTACTTTGTGATGTGAAGGGCCGTGAATATTAGACATCGGTGTACTCTGTGATGTGAAGGGCTGTGATGTTTGGACGTCGGTGTACTTTGTGATGTGAAAGGCCGTGACTTTTAGACGTCGGTGTACTCTGTGATGTGAAAAGCTGTGACTTTTGGACGTCGATGTACTTTGTGATGTGAAGGGCTGTGACTTTTGGATGTTGCTGTAATTAGTGATGTGATGGTGAGTGAGTGGGTTCGGAAATGCCGACCTATGGGCATAAGTGAACGGAGAAGACGAAAGCGTTGCGCCGCCCTGCGGCTTTCTCGTGAACAGCACTACAGGGGCAGAGATGTTTGGGTTGCGCCCTCGTACGGTTCCTGTTCTTGACGTCATGACTAGGATTCGCTTAACCTTACTAGATTACCTCTAGGGCTCTGGGCGTCGATTAAAAGTTTTAACCCGATTAATCCCCACCCTTTAGTCGATTAATCGGTCGCGTTCATTTCCATGCATATTATTTCTAAATAGTCAAAATTAATATTTGTTTTCTCTTTTTGCATTTGCTGAATACGAGGTGCACCCTCAAAAAAAAAGTGAAAGCCGTTTACAACTCCCTGTAACGCCGAATTGGAGCGCAGCTCTTGAGGAGGAGGAGTGAAGGGTACTGAGGGGAGGGTAGACCCCTCCTCCTTCTCCTCCTCCTCTCCTCATTCTTTAATATGCTCCGGGAGGGGGGGTGTCACGTGACCTCGGGGGGGGGGGGGGGGGGTGTCACGTGACTTCGGGGAGGGGGCCACGTGACCTCGGGGAGGCGTGACCTGGGGGTCACGTCGGGGTAACACCCGTTTTCGGGGTAACACCCGAAAAAAAAAAAGAAATGGCTGAAGGCTACAACGCTTCTGTGCTCCGATCTCTGAGCGATGTGGTTCTTCAGAATAGTGAACGCCAGGAGACATCTATCTGCTCGAATGAGCTTGCATATTTCGCTTCACGGACCTGCGCAGGTTCTCTGGTCCCCGGTCATTTCGTATCCCAGTGGACATTCGCAGTAATAACCACCATCGTAGTTGGTGCAGATATGACTGCAATTGTGGGTACCTTGAGTGCACTCATTCACATCTGAAAAGAAAAGATCCATTTGGGCATAAATCAAATTTCATAAGTATGGTGCCTGCTACAGCAAATGAAAAAAAATAGGTTCCAAATAAAATCAGGTGTAGCTCTAGAAACGACACAAATAATAGACAGAAGAGATGAGAACAAGTAAAATAAAAAAAGTCACCCATGTGCATCCCACGATTGGGAAAAAAAGTTTAAAACAAAGATCAATCACAAATTCACTAAACGATTTAGGCAAGAGCACTGATTCGTATTTGGAACAATACGTCAAGGGTACTCCGGAATGGAATACAATTCACGAATTATGGTCGGCACCTTTTTTAGTAGATAGTATACCATAACGTTCAAGGCGACAAATTGTGGCAGGTGAGGTAAGAAACAGTATTTATTATAAGAAAATACTCAAGCTCGCGACTATTTCGCTTGAACGAGTTCTTCGTTTAAAGGAGTTATGAGGCGTCAGGTCACGTGACTGTGGTACGGGACGTCAACCATGATGTCACGTTCGGACTCCAGAGCCAAGAGTGACGTTAAATTTTGTTTTTAATTACAATTTGAGAAAAGAATGGCAAGAACACACCCATAAATGTTTCGTTAAAATAAATAAAAACTCTTTTTAGTTTTTACCTTCGCACGTGAAGTTGTCATGGAGGGAGAGAGTGTACCCGGCTTTGCAAAAACAATCGTAGCTTCCGATCGTATTCGAGCAGATCTGGTTGCATACATGCGGCGTCTCGGTGCATTCGTCGACGTCTGCAGTCAGCAAGTGGGTTTGAGTGATGAATTCACAGTCGAGCATATGGTAAATCGACCTTTTCCAAAGGTACATCAAGCAACACTGGTGGTCACCATGTTTTGGGGTCCTTTAAGACTTAGGCTAGGTGGCGCAAGCTACCGCCCGTTAAAAAGGGTACAGCCATTAACATCCATCCCTCCATCCATTGGCATCGCTCCCTACGTGAAATGCGTGATTGGATCCGAATTTACGCCTTGCGCTGAAACGGCCCTCTTGTCCCATGCATGCTAAAAGTGAATGACCGAAATATGGCGGCCTCACAGAATCGACGCCGCAGCTAATTGAGGGCGCACATTTTTTAAAAGGGCTCCTTGGATGAAACTGGTTCGGCTATGCTTAGTACGAACTTAGGTAAAATATTTAAGATTTAAGAGGACAGAAAGAATGAGACCCAAGAAACCAGACGGGCTTTCTATCACCAATGTATTTTTGTTAACGCAGTTAACAGCCCCAACCAAAAGCGAGCTCTGTTTCTTTCAGACCAAGTACAGACAGTCATGGATCATAAGAAATCGCTAGTACAAAAAGTGCGTAAGCAGGGCTGCTGACTGACCTAAGTTTTGTGTTGTACTTTCTACAGTATTGATAACAAGCTACAGTAAAATATAAAAAGGTTTGGATTTTGCGCTGTCCTTAAGATACACTGAAAAGGGAGCACTTCCTAAGACACCGTAGTATAGACCTAAATAGATATGAAAGAAACAGGTTATCATAGAGAGAATAATTTTTCGTAATAATTCACAGTGAACAGTAGATTCACAGTGTATGGATGCAAGTAAAAGCGTTAACGAAAATTATATATTTTTATGTAATTTACCGCAGCCAGATGAATACACCGCACCGCACCTGTTCCGACACACCATAACATATTCAGCAGAGTTTTTTTCTTCGTACTTACCTCGGCATGTGAAGCCATCATCTGACAACTTTAGGCCGAAGGGACAACCACAGTACGCACTTCCATTTGTGTTCACGCACTCGTGGGAACAGTTGAGGATTTTTTCATCGCACTCGTTTATATCTGCGGGCGAATAAGGCTTTAAAATGTGTCGCTTAAAAAAACACAAAAAAACTGCAACTGCAAAAAAAAAAAAAAAAGTACACACAAAAAAGAAAAGAAGGAACTCCGAGACGAACAAGGCACCACCTTCCAACATTTGTGCTTAAATGAATGAATGAATGAATATCACTTTAGCCTTTGATTCGGGCGCCGAGTTGCGCCATCTAGCGAGTAGTTTAAACTTTTTGTCTAGCGATTATAATACCAACTACTTTTGTAGCTGTACTAACGCACAACAAGGTGAACAAACGACAGCTGATCACAAAAGTCAGAATCGTACACTAAATAACGAGGTAGTAAATGACTAGTCCCTGAAGAATTCCCTGGCGAATTGCGCATATGCCTAGCGGTTACTATGAATAATGGACCTTTTCCACATACCGACGACACCAGGCGGTGACTGTACGAACCAAAAATCGAGGAAGTGACCTACCTGGCTTCCAATCGATAATGGAGGTCCATTATGACTAGAATCCGTCTCGCCGTACGTAACATGGCATACGGCAAAGGTCACGGTCTCAGTCAGCCAATCAGCGTGTGAAAGGAAGTCACGTGACTATATTCTATCTTAGTAGATGCGCGCAGTGCTATCAAAGCCACTGGAAGGACGACGAGGAAGGCCGATGTTGTACAAATTTTGAGTACCAGGTTAGTGTTCTAGGGCAGGGGTCTCAAACGCCTTCGAGTATGTGGGCAAGATTCCCCACAGCAGTTAAACGTTTCACGTTGGAAAGAAGCCGACTTCCTAGGGACATCCCAAAAATTTTCTAAGGAAGGAACTTTGCGCTCTCTGCTTTTCGTAAGCTCAGCGTTTTGACATCTTTAACTTTCATTTGAGCACTTGATGTTATAAGAATATTTAAAAAAACACCACATTACAGCACTGGCAGTTTTTAATAGGAGGAGAGCAAGCGCACTGGTCCTTGCCCTGTCGTACAAATTACTATAGCTCAACAGGCATAAAGAAAAAAAAATCTTCATACGGCAGTTTTTGCTTTCCTGACAATTTTGTTTTGCAGCATTGTAATAAAATACTTGTATTTTAAAGGTATTGTTTGAGAGCAAGAAGCCCGAGCGCAAAGCTTTACCGTTAGCAGATGCTGCTGCTGAGCGAGACTTCGTGCAGCCGAGGTTGAGCAAAAAGCTCGCGCTTCTAGCTTAGTATTGGGTCCGTTGTTGTTCCTCATATGTATAAATTAAGTTTGAAACTGTATAAAATTTACTAAGGTGTTCGTATTTTGCTGATGACATAAAGTTCTTCTGTCATATCTTTTCGAAACAGACTACGAAGCGCTGCAGTCTCAAATTTTGAATGATTCAAAGTGGTGCTCGAAGAACATACTGCCTCTGAACGCGAACAACACTGACGTTATCTTGCTTTCAAGGCGTAGATATCCCTTACATTTTAAGTACAGGTTGGAAAACAGTAATGGTGCTCGAGCTGATGTGATCAAGGACCTTGGTGAGTTAGTCGATTGCTAACTCATGTTCAAATCTCGTGACACACATATTTGTTGTACGTTTTAAATTGTGTCACACGATTGCGCGTATGACTCGGTACTTGGAAGCACTTGATGCTATGTCACGTCTATTTTGGGCATTGGTTGGGCCCCATCTTGAATTGGCTTCTGCCGTGTGGAACAACTTACTGGAAAGTGAATGTAAGCGTACTGAAGCGGTACAAATGCGTTTAGTTTGCATAGTCTATGACAGGCATTTTCCGAGGAGGCTAAAACTTCGAATACCATTGTCTTGCTAGGAATTTGAGCCCCAGCACCTTAGGTTGCCGTAGAAATCGCCGAGATGTAGTGTTGATACATAAACTCATCCAAGGTCATACTGATGTACCGGATATTTTAGGCAGCATGCAACTACGCATGCCAGCTATATTCGCGCGACAGTGCGTAACGTTTCATCCCGAGAAGATATTTAAGGGATCACCCTTATATCAAAATTAGGCCTCTAGCAACAGCCATTTTCAGCACGATCTTTTTTCCATGTCTTATTTTACCCCTGAACGGTGGAAGGTACCTGTAATATGATTTAGTACGACTTAGGCCCTCCGATGGGCTTTTACGCGCTTGACATCGTTGCATGTATTTTTTTAAATATTTTTTATACGTGTAAGTGACATTTGTAATGCACCAATGTGTAAAGCTTTAAGGTGTTTTTGGGCACGTAATAAACGCCAACATCAACGACAAGTCGTTGTATCGCTGTGCCGGTCGGTTTATTTGAAAAAGGGCTGATAATAAAATATTTAGACGAAGCACTAGTACTCAGTTAAACAAAAAAAAAAAAGCAAAATGTCTGAACACGTTGTATGAGCAGAGCTTCATTTCATGCAAAAATGAATTCCCGATATTAAGCTTATTTTAGGCGAATGTAGTGCTCGAGGCATAGAAACGGAGCTCACAGCCACCGGATGCACGCGGGCCGCCTGTTTTGAGACCCGGGTATAAGGGTATAAGGGAAGAGTTCCCGCTTCCCTTATTATCCGACTGCACGGGTTGCGCTCTCTCCCTATACCTAAGGGAAGTGATGAAACGTGCTTTGCTTCCGTCGCCCTGATTGGCTTGAGAGGGCCTTAACGTTTGCTCTTTACCAAGTTACGGGGAAACTAATTGTAGTGATGTGCATTGCTGAACAGAGAACGAGGCGAAGTAGGTTACCTTCGCAGCCTTGTCCACTGTTCGATGATTTCCGGAAGCCGCCGTCGCACACGCAGTCGTCGACAGACGCGGCTCTTGAAGCAATCGTGTGGGTATTGGGTGGGCATCGTACGCAAGCCTCTCCCTTTGGATCCTTGAACGTGTTTTTTTGACAGTCTTCGAAGAAAGAGGAAGAATTGAACATGGATATGCACATAGCACGCCGTTTTTGACTCCGAATATGACTGAAGCCAGAAACTGTGAGCGATTATTTATTTCACAACCCGCAGGACCCGAGGGCATTGCAGAGGGGAGTGTGTTACTAAGACGTCTTCTGCATTAGAGTTTAAGAGCAGGGACATTATGTAAATCTAGGTAGGTGCGAGTTGAGTTGGTGTTCGCCAAAGTGTTCATAAATCTAACTGCACAAAGTACCGGGGTTACATTTTTATTGTAGTTACGCGATCGTTGCCAATTGCTAACGGTGTGAGGAAAAAGCGAGGAGAAATCGGGTTTTTTTAGTTACCATGACATTTTCTGCACGATGCCAAGATGAGTACCGAAACGTAGAGGTATTGGTGTTAATAAATTGCCGCATAATCACTGAAACCAATTAATTTTTTTTAACAAATAGTTTAGGTAAGTTTTAGGAAAAAAACAACCTAAATTGCACATTCGTGACAGAACCGCTGCACATTTTTTAGTACCTCCCACTGTTGCGCTACTTTCCATAAAAAAAATTAAATATTTAATGAAAACATATATAATCTCGCCTTGAGGTTCAGCACATTAATCATGATTTACCTCGAGCAATGTCTGTAAATGTTTGTTTCTCGAATAATTCAAGAAAATGTTTCCACTACAGTTTTTCTTCTGCAATGCAACTTCGTCCAAATGTAGGTATAAAAATTAGAGGATGACACTTAAGACTGCTTACATGTAGGAGTGCGAAAGTATCCCTACAAGCATCTTGCTGCGTGCTTGTAAGAGCTGCGTACAGCTCTGATTGTTAGTGCTCCACAAGCAGCGCTGCAGAACTCGTGATACAGTAGTGCACAGGAAGAGGGAGAGGGAAATTCCCGCTACCCCTCCCCCTCCTACCACGCGTGACACGTGACCCTAGAGGGGGGAGAGAGTGGCGGTCGCACGCGCGCCACCCTCTCTTTTACCGGCGCGCGAGCCGCAGCGCCAGGAGAGGGCTTTTCTGTGGGGTGGCGTTCCTTGGTACTATGACGCGTCGCAGCCAATGGGATTTTAGGGTCCGTTTCGCTCAGCCAATGGGAAAATAAGAGTTTATGGCTCGTTTTTTGCGGTTACAGACACCGCTGGCTTCGCTCCATGGGATAGTTATGCTTTCGCGTTAAAAATACCGCAATCTACCAATGTCTCAGTTATTATTTTGTTCCTTTGTAACGTAATATCGGCTTTAAAAAAAGTTGGTAAACTATCTTTTATTTACTATATGCAGGCTTACAGGCCTGCATAAAATACGAGTAATATGCCTACAGTTTTTGCGGTAGACCCTGTGACTATGGATGTAAAAGATTTCGTATCTACTTAATCTCAAATTATGTTCTTTCAAAGCGGGACAGATATCTTAGAAACATATCTGCGTCCCCAATGAACACAAACCGTCTGAGTTTAATTGCGCATGAAATGGATGGTACCTTGACAACGCCCTCCACCGAGCGAAATCCGTCCTGGATGACACTTGCACCTGTAACTTCCGTCAACGTTTTCGCATACATCCCCGCAGCCATGCCGGCCCATCGAGCACTCGTCAATATCTGTGCATTGCGGGAGGCAAGAAAAAGTCTTTCGTTATCTCTTTCTCGATGTATTTTCTTTGATACAGGTTTACTGTGCCGAACATGTCATGATCTTTCGTAACCACCGAGATCAACTTTACGCACTCTGTTTGAAATAGTCGCTTATAATATTGTAAGAATTATGTCAGGCCCACGGTAAAAAAATACGCACAAAAAAAACAAGAAAAAAAAACATATACACTTAAGACAGAAGCGTTCTACGGCCACTCGATAGATGGTGCCACTGTGCTAGTCTCTTAAGCGGTTTTAAGAAATCAAAACACACTCGTGCATAGGCAAATGCAAATGTATGTAGCTGTATTTAGCAAGAGGACGACATTGGCGGATTGCTGTCGTAGTTTACCCTTACACTTTATCGCGGAAGACCGAGATGTGTACTCAAAATAAAGTACCCCCCCCCCCCCCCCCCCCCCCCTTTTGGTGATATTTTATACCACTGAGTTTCGATAGGAATATTTCGGTCCAGCGCAAAAAATTCAGACATATTTGTGATTACACGTTCGGGATAACTGTGGTGTTTCCTAGAACTTTGGAGAAAGTTCAACTCACCTACGCAATTTCTTCTAGTTCCGTCCAGTTTGTATCCCTGGAAGCATGCGCAGTAGTAGCTACCTTGG